AACCTCTCAGATGGAAATAAAATCTCATTGGACTCACCATATCTGCTGCAGGTGGAGCAGCCAGTCCGGCTGAGCATGTGAGTGTGTGTGTTTATGTGAGTGTGTGTTAATGTGTGTGTGTTTAGAGCGATGGTGCTGCTTATATCTCCTCCAGCATCATGAGGTTCGATCTGCTCCCTGAGAGGCCCTGCAGGACTCCTGTTGACTAGAGACACAAAAACAGCTGAAAAAAACAGCTGACGTCACTGCAGACCGTGACCCGCAGAGAGGAACATCAATAGCGAGGAGCTGCAGAGGATCTACCACAGCTGCATTTGTGTTTGTGTGTGTGTGTTTGGTGTGTGTGTGTGTGATGGTTACCTGGTGAGTAACAGTCTGAAGTATCTCACTTCTGTTTTTATCTTCATTAGGATTTTCCCTGGAACAGGAAGTGACCTGATTTCTGCAGCAGGTACAGGTGAGCATCACTCTGCAGGTTCTGCTCACAAACAAACACACACAGAAGCACACACGTCACTGCATTACTCACCTGTTAGAGCAACAACAAAGTAAAAATCATAAACAGGGACTCCAATAATAAACACTCTAATAGCTATTCTGTTATTGTTGTGTTTGTGTTGCCTGTGTGCGCTCTGTCTTGCTGAAATACTCAAACACACCCTTAAAAATCCATCCATCCATTTTCTACCGCTTATCCCTGTTCCCGGGGTCACGGGGGGGCTGGAGCCTATCCCAGCATCTTCAGGTAGGGGACACCCTGGACATTGTGTATCATTTTCAAGGGTTTTTCTTCTGCAGAGCTCCAGTAGCTCATTAGCAATTCACCTTTGAGTAGTGGACTAAGACAGCACTGCTCTGCACACTCCTCTTCATGCCAGTTTGTAACCGAACATTGTTGGTGCAGCTAAAGTGGTAGGTAATATAGGAGCTATTCCACTTTCTGACACCAATGTCTTTGGGGGGTGAATGAGAGCGAATGTAATATTTCGCTTTCTTATAAGCATTGCAATCGGGTAACGTACACACTTGTTACGCCATCATCCTCTCTACTTTTCAGAGTCTGGCCTGCAGAGCAGGGCTCCCGGGGCAGAGTTTGGAGTTGTGATGTAGGAAATCTCACTGTGTCTGAACCTGCTGTTTGGGTCTGACAGAGGTTCACGGCGATTTGAATGCAGAAATACTCCGAAATTCAATTTTGCACTTAGTTTTCTCATATGTCCTCTAGCATCAGAAAAATGCCATATAAACATGTACACAAAACAAGAAAAACATGATTATCATTGGATCGGGTCTGCTCTCTGTTAAAAAGTTGAAATGTCAGAGTTAAGAGTTTTATTAGAATCCTGTGTTCAATCCGCTGAACAGATCTGGAGCCTTTTAAAGCAAGAAAGCAAATACAGAGAGAAATAAATAAATAAAGAAATAACAGCCTTGTACAGTTGGTCTTAACCAAGAAACAAAAATGTGATTAAACATTTTCAGATTATAAACTATTTGAGGGTAAAACTCTTAAAAAATTGCAGAGAAATAAAAATTTATGTATACTGTGAACAGAATGAAATAAAAGGGCATTCATCAATGTTTCCAGAGTTCAGATTTGTTTGTAGCTACTAACTTAATCTACACCTGCTCTGGACTACCAGTAGAGTTTGTATGGGTAGATTCACAAAATTCATGCTTTTTATTAACAGAAATCTCTGTTTTAATTCATACTGTGATCTATTATGTTCATAGTGGGATATTGTCAAACCTGTATACAACATGTTTACATCCCTGCATATTCACGGAGCCTTCGGTTCACAGATCAATCCGCTCAACAAATCTGGAGCCTTTTAGAGCAAGAAAGCAAACACAGAGAGAGATAAATATATAAATAAATAAATAAATAACAACCTCGTACAGTTGATCTTAACCAAGAAACAAAAATGTGATTAAACATTTTCAGATTGTAAACTATTTGAGGGTAAAACTCTTCAAAAACTGTAGAGAAATAAAAACAACTTTGAACAAGTTTAACTTTAGGAACGTCTCTTTTCTAACTAATTTTTCCTCTATTGTGAACATCAAACGAAACAAAAGAGCAGTGCGGCAGTCTGGAGGACAGTTTGGTCTGCGAGTCTTCAGTGTGTTTCACTCGAACATGGCTTTGACAATCTGTGCCATGCACTGTCCAAACTCCTCCAGGACCTCCTGCTCAGCCTGGGTGGAGCTTTGACCCTCTTTCGCCGCCCTCTCAGCCCGAGCCAGCAGACTTCCAAACACCGCCTCCACGACTTCATGGGTAATCACCGACCCAGGACAGCTAGTAAAAACACACACACAGACACCCACACACAGACACCCCCCCCCACACACACACACACACACACACACACACAAACACACACACACTCACACATTGAGTCTCACTCATGAAACGTGAGCAGAGCAAATTTGTGTATACTGTGAACAGAATGAAATATACCGCAAAAGGGCATTCATCAATGTTTTCAGAGTTCAGATTTGTTCGTAGCTACTAACTAAATCTACACCTGCTCTGGACTACCAGTAGAGTTTGTATGGGTAGATTCACAAAATTCATGACTCACTTGTCCTTGTCCTTGGTGGTACTCTCACTCTCTCCAGTTTCTGACTTGTTTTTAAAGTTTCTACAGCCACTACACTTACAGCTGGGGGTACACCTGACATTGGCCTGCACACACATAAAAACACACACAGGGAAACACAAAAATTAGCCTTAATGTTGAGACACACCTAAACAACTGCATGTGATTTATAAAGTCTTTGAGTGCTTTTATTTTGAAAGAAGATTGCAACCACTAAACTTTTACCAGGACACAAAAATGAAACTATATTGGAGAATAAGTATAAAAGTAAGTATTTAAAAATCTGCATCTGTGCTTCCTGATTTTAAAAAACACATCATAAAAACATGATAGCAATTCTTAATCATGAAGGTCGTGAAGAGTGTGTGAGTCCAGTTTTAAATTAGGAACTTAGACATGAAGAACTCAATCACCTCAAAATGTAGTCTTTCTGCCAGTAAGTGATATTGTTTGAATTCTATACAATTCAATCAGGTATCGAATTTTCCCTCAGGGATCATAAAGTTCTTCTTATCTTATCTGGTTTGTGTGTGTGTGTGTGTGTGTGTGTGTGTGTGTGTGTGTGTGTGTGTGTGTGTGTGTGTGTGTGTGTGTGTGTGTGTGTGTGTGTGTGTGTGTGTGTGTGCGCCTGTGTGTGAACCTCATAACACTGGCAGTAGTTCTTCAGGCAGCCCGAGCGTTTACACTTGCAGCCCCTCTCGAGCCAGGCTTCGACCTCTCCTGACCCTCCTAAAACAATCTTTGTCTTGAAGGCGTCCGGGTTTCTACCTGCATGTACCTACGAAACGACAACACCAGTATTAAAAGATTGAGAGGGACTGGGAAAATACCAGTCAAAACTGTGAAAGTATTAGTCAAAGACACAGAGGTTGAGTTTGACATGAAGACATCAATTTGCATTACAAAAGGAGAGAATGGTTAACATCCATGACCATGAACCAGTTCCGATATCATGACCACAGTCAGGCAAAGTCATTGACTGGGGTTACCTTTCTACAGTGTCATCTGTCAGAGAACCAGATCTGTCAGGCAGCAGGTAAACATTTAGTCCTCAGAGTTAATGTGTAAATACAAGAAAAAAGGGCATTATAGGATTAACAGCATGTTTGACAACAAAACGATGAAGGTTCAAAAACCAGGTCAGAGCATCTCTAAAACTGCAGCTCCCGTGAGAGGTCCTGATCTGTAAGGAAGGAAAACCAGACCCCACCCGGGATGCGTCTATTACCCCCGGAAAGTTGCAAAATCGCATCGGGCTTGATGTGTATAGTCAGGCCCGTCAAAATTCACCTCTGAATATTTTGTAATTTCGCGTTCTATATTCGCGTCTGCTCTGGTGTGTAAGGACCTTTAAAACCTTACTTTCCTCTTTTTCTATCAGGTTGGTTTCACATTAAAGAACAGTGGATAGTGAAGATGACAAGTGTGTTTGTCATGTGCTCGCTCTGGTGGTTAAGCATCTATGAGATGAACAACAGTCGATCCAGGCCCTCACAAGTTTCTCAAACTAAGTTGTGTGTCTCCTAGTGAGTGTGTCCTTGTCACAGCGCTGTCAGATCAGATCTGCTAACAGAGTGATGCCTGTCACCCTGACTGAAGCTCCAATTACACCAATCGATGCAGTCGGCCCAACTCTCTGTGACTCCCTGTCTGCTGCACCTCAAACAGTCGATCAGCTGCTGTGTGACTGATTAGCAGTCAGCTCACACAGTAGTCAGACATCCTACAGCTCCAAGCAAGATGAAGATCACATGTACTGCTGATACGGGATCCTCTCAGAACCATGTTGCCATCCTGCAAACTTCACAGATTAGCATCAACATGTAGGAGAGGAAGGAAGCCCAACAGGTTCTTCCAGAGACACAGTATTTGTAACATGATGTTGATGATGGCATACTCTGGTTGGGGGGCCTCTGTAAATTTTTGAAGAGGGCCCCAACAGACCCTGGTAGAGCCACCAGCTTTGACTACTTTCACACCGGGACCGTTTTTGTCGTGCGATTATTTCGGACGTCAATATTTTTTTTTCGAACCTGTATCCTGTCAATATGAGCGTTCACATCAGTGACGTTTTCCCGTCCTGCGATATTGCGGCATTAATTTTTTGGATCACGGTCCAATCAGATTGCGTGTTGTTGCGATGTGTGATTCACCAGTATATCCAACATGGCCGACTGGCTAATTGTTTACGTGTCGGAGAACAGAGTGCTTTTTTAAAAAAAAACATTACAAAGATAACGACCTGAAGGACAACTTGTGGAGAGTCATAGCGTCGGATCTCTCATATCATGATGGTTCGTGTGCTTTAACAGTTTGCTAAACGTCTTTGTTTTAACTTTCATCTGTGCTAAGTAACTTTAGCTCGTAAGCTAACCTGTTCAGATGCAACATACTATATGTATTTTCACTGTCTTAAACTCAATTGTGTTGTTGTCACAGCACCATTAGGTCTCGGTTGTTACTTTACGTTTATGGATTATAGTTTAATGTGCTTATCTGGTACTGGCCCCGACTCAGTACATGCTATCTATAGTCCAGCAGAATAGTATGCTACATGCTACAGACAGCCATCTCAACACTAGTCTCTCACCAGAACTGAAAACAGTCAGTCTGCTGTTGTGTCAGCCTTCTCCACCCGGGACGCGTCTTTTTCCCCCTGGACAGTCGCAAAATCGCATCGGACTTGATGTGTATAGTCAGGCGCGTCAAAATTCGCCTCGTTCTATATTTGTGTCGGCCCCGGTGTGTAAGGACCTTTAGTATGAGAGAAATCACAGGAAGTTCTCCCTCCATCAGTACAATGTTGGATTCAGTCAACAAAAAACTGCTCCACTGGCAGCATGTTTAAAGCTGCTGTGAGGAGTTTTAATCAGGTTATGACAGACTGAATAAAGATGAATTATCTCTCTAGGGGTCCTACTGAACAGGCAACAGGTAGGTGATTAACAGCACATCCATTTTTCCGCCTCCATTAGTCATGATGAATGATACAGCGGACTGATAACAACAAACAGGATGAGATTTTTCATCAGAACAAACACATGTAGAGGACAAGGTCAGCAGAGGAGCATAACTTAACCCCCAAAATGAGAGCTTTTCTCAGGAGTTTGAACCTGCAGAAGCTCTAAAACAGGGACAACAGCTACACAAGAGTCTCCTGCATGTTTCTGGAGAAAGAGATGCTTTAATCCCCACATTCAGCTCTTACCGTTTTAGCTTTTAGATTTGTTTTTACTGGCTCATCACACACCTTGATCGCCTCCCGACGTTCCATCACATGCTCAGGGTTGTTGAAGCAGTTGGAACATTCACAGCTGTAGCACATCAGTCCGTTAGCAAAACATTCACAGTAGCTGCAAGACACAAACAATATGAATGTCAGACTCCATCTGTGAGTGTGTCTCTGCTGCCAATATTTAGATATTACTCAGCTCTCTAAGCTGGTTTTCTTTACTGTCTCACAGTGTCACCTCCTCCTGACTTCTTATGCTAAAGATAGTCACATGGATCCACCTTCAAAACATTTTTTTCTCACTGATTTATGGTCCTGTCCACTTCAGAGGTGTTTATGAATGTTTTTCTGTCCTGTTGAAAACTCTCACACCAAACCAAGTAACTGCGTTTTCACAGGTGGATGCCTCAGGTAAATAAGAAGTGAATGTTGTAACTCACAGTTTAAGGCACCGGGATCTGGCGCAGCGACAAGGTTTCCTTGAAAAAACTCTGCAGACAGGATTTCCTGAGGTGACCTCACAGTCGACTGTTGGTGACAAACTGCTACAGACTCTGCTGATAAATTTCAGTTGTAATCCTCATCAAGAGTTGTCTAGTCAGTAACACACTCACAGTCTGTCTTTGGATCTTACCGCTGTGGAGGGGTCTCAGGCACCATGCTGGGGGACTGATCTCTGTACTCAAACAGAGGAAGAGCTGGCCACATATACATAGGAAGCTAAATATGATAAATAAATCAAAAAATGGATTATGCTAAACAATGTTTGGGTCAGGTAGAGTCTGGATAGAAACAAAACAATCTGTGGTTTCATACCTGGTCCGGAGTCCTAAACACATTGAAATCTGAGGAATATAAAGAGGGATCATCACTGATACAGTCCATAACTTTAATAATGTTGATATCTGTATAGAGGATACATTCAGAGACAGGGACATGAGAAAATCTTCAATAGGAGACATGCTGTACTGTCTCTGCTACAGCATAATGAGTGCCCTAAAAACATCTATCCATTCATCCATCCATCCATCCATCCATCCATTCATCCATCCATCCATCCATCCATCCATCCATCCATCCATCCGTCCGTTAGTCCGTCAATCCATCCATCCATCCATCCATGCATGGGTCAATCAACCAATCAACCAATCTCTCGATCCATCCATGCATGGGTCAATCAACCAATCAACCAATCTCTCCATCCATCCATCCATCCATCCATCCATCCATCGGTCAATCGACCAATCCATCCATCCATCCATGTATGGGTCAATCAACCAATCCATCCATACATCCATCCATCGGTCAATCAACCAATCTATAAATCCATCCATCCATCCATCCATCCATCCATCCATACATACATACATACATCTGTCAATCAATCAATCTATCTATCCAACTATCATCCATCCATCCATCCATCCATCCATCCTGATTTTGCCCAGATCGCTTCCCTGCCAGCCACAATGTGACATTTTTCATGAAGAAGTCAGTGAACTGATCAATGAATGAACACAGCAGCAAAAAGTCACAATGAACACTGAGACAGAAATAGGGGAGACAATCAGAGAGAAAACATCCGAACCAGAACAGATGGATAGACCGATTAAAGGATGAGGGATGGATCAATGAATTATGAAAGGGTGGATTGATGAATGGATGGATGATAAATGGATGGATGGATGCATTTCATTTTGATTTCTCACAGTGGTGAATTAAAGTATCAGCTTCAGAGAGACTTGTTCATGTGACAGCACAAAGAGCAGAATCTTTATCACTAGAGCCCTGTTAAGCCACATTTCTTACAGATTGATGAAGGTAACGCTCTTCAGACACTTTTTGAAAGTCTCAGCAGAGAGGAATGGGGGTCTTTTTGGTTATCAGCTCATAGCAGTGTCAGAATCAGGTACAGAATTAAACCAGAGAAGTCATGTAACCTACTGTATGTAAACTGTTCCTCGTGTCCCCTCTGAGTCAAGTCCTCTTCTCTGAGTATTGATGCAGGTGTCAGGGTGTAAAATACAGGTCCTGACTCACAGGGCTCAGCCAGCATCTCCTGTCCACCTCTCTCCTCATTACACAGCACCTGCACAGTAGAGTAGAGGACTATCACCACTGACTGAACCTTGAGACATTGAACCTAAAGCAACAAACTTCCTCTAGACTCTCAAAAGTTGGACTGGTAGTTTCTTATCTTTGATTTTCATTGTCAGTATTATCTTACGATTCAAACTAAAGATGCACCCATAAGGCTTTATAAATGTGCCGATGATGCATTATAGAGATGAGTTCATGTAAAGTGTTACCAGGTGCTTTTCTGAGTGTAACTTCTGCACACTGAAAGGATGTGGTCAGGATTACTGGGACCCTTTTGTATTAAATCTTTGTGATGGTGAACACTGATCTCATTCTGATGAAAAAAACACACTGTGCTGTTTTGATTCAAATACCTTCAGTTCAGCTTGGAGGCCCGAAAGTCCTGCTAAAACAACTGCTGGTGAGACATCCACATTTACCCATAACTCTCTTCATCTGTTTTTATGTTGTTTTAAAGGAGACCTCTGTGGACTACACAGATTCTGAATAATCAGCACTGATGGTATTATCCTTTTTAACACTGGATAGGTTATATTGCACTTACAGGTGGTGTGTGATGGGGCGTTTCTCTCTGAGGGTCCACTGCCTGTGAGTCAAAGGGACCAGCAACAGGGTAGAAAGCGTCCCGCTAAAACCACACAGCACAGATTTACACAGCATGTCAAGAATGTATACTTGGTATATATCCATAAATGTGGCCCTGAATACTCACTGTCATCATGCTGCTGTTGAGACCAGGTTCATAAGGAAACCATGGAGCAGAGAGGTAGGTCATATGGCTGCTGTTAGACAAACCAGGACCAGGTCTGAGGAAATCAGAGCTGATTAAAATCACGTGATTATTCTTAAAACATGATTTCACTTCCTTGAAGGTCTGCATGTACTCAGGCACAGGTCAGATACAAAGTAAACAGGGTAGGTTTAGGATATTATCAGTTAACAATGATGTTACATCTCATAGTTTACAGACAAATTAAATTATAATCCTATTTTCAAATGTATGTTCATAGGCTGTACATATATTATGGCCAATGTGGCTCCGCCTCCCGGTACAGTATGGTATTTTCAGGAATTTTCTCCAATTCCTGAATTTGTACAGTAGCGTTCACACAATTTCTATATTCTGTGTAATTAATTCCTAATGTTTGTCCACAGCTCCATAAGGTTTACTGGAGGGGGCTGAATTTATGGCCTATACTGCAGCCAGTCACCAGAGGGTGCTGTTCTCAGAGGCTACACCCAGCAAGGAGGCAAAGGACGTCCATTCCAGATACAGTCTACATGTTTGTTCAGATGGTTTCAGCTCCCATCTTTGTCCAGGTGTCATTCTTAAATTCACCAGTGGGTGGGGCGAAAGATCAAGCTATAAGGTTTGTATTCCTCACAGTAAATATGGCCAACTCAGTGTTGGTGAAAGATAACTCACCCAGGGAGGAAGTAGTACGGGTGTGACTGTGGGTAGTTTGAAGCAGTCTGACTCTGAGAAGAGTGATATGGACACAGAAACCTTCAACACAAAAATGAAAACTTATTTCAGAGGAAGGATGTGACACGACTGACACAGGAACCTTTTAAGTAAATGTTTTAAAACCTGTAAAAAGTTATATTCAAAACCTTTGAGTCATGATGGAAAAACAAGGCAGAGGAAATGTTTTTAAAGCATAAAACAAGGAAGAAATCAAACATTATAAATTAATTATTAAATGAGGCAAAGTTAAGCTGAGAACGAGGTCTACGCCTATTTTTCCCACATTTGTACTTATTTCCAAATATAAAAGAATAAAGAAAGAACATATTTCTAGCCATTTCTGATGTGTCTGACAAGTTTTATGGGTTTTTAAGGACTTTCAAGCTGCATAATATACAACTAAATTATTAAAGCAACAGGAGTCCCAGTTTAGTATTGTGGTGAAGTCCTGCCCCTCATGTAGAAATGCAACAATCCTGGTCTGCGACCCTTCTCCACATGTCACTCTCATATTCCTGCTCTCCTATCCTCTCCAAATAACGACATAGCAGCCCCAGATATACACCAGCCAATAAGAACAGCAGGTACACCAGCGACACCTACTGCCATCCAAACAACTGATTTCCTTAAATCCTACTTCAAGGAGCGTCTAAATTTTTATGCTTTTTTTTAACATGATCAGACTACTTCGCATTTAGGGATGCGGGACATTATCTGAATCATATCAGCAGATGCTAGCAGATAAAAGATGAAAAGTACATTCTCACTATCTGTGGATACAAACAATTAGTTGAGAAATATCTGCTGATATTGAGTGGCAGACAAAAGTGACATATAAATTGAACTTACTAAAACATTTCATCATACATGACTGTATCGAAGTATTTTAGTGCCATCAACAGGCAGCAGACACATAAATGAATATGTTTGAAAAATGAATGAATTAAATATTATTCACCTTGTTTGATGTCTTCTACTGAAATTAATCAAACAGCCACAATAAAAGTAACAGGTAAATCTGGTACAGGAGATACTTAATGTTCTTTGCAACGACAAAACAATATTGGTTTTGATGTCAGCATCAGCCTAAATGAGTCTGAAATGATCTGCGTACTACGTATCAACAGTATTGTTTATCTCTCATTATATTTATGATTAAAGATGTTGTGGGTGGTGCTGTAATGGAGTGTGTTATACTGAAATGTGTCCCTGATATTTTGTTTTTTTCATTCACAAACACGAGGGCAGTAAAATATCAGGAGCACATTTGTCAACTCATGACTAAACAAAAACTTAGTATTTGTGAAGTGGACTCAAAGCAGGGCTGTTTTATTGGATCGATTGTTGAGGTGCATAATGTTGAGGCTGAAAAGTTTGAGTGTTCCTGTATGACTCTCAGACTTTTTTTGACATAAAAGCCTTGATTCCTAAACACCACTTTTCCTTATGACGGGCTGGTGGCTCTACTTTAAAACAAGAGTTCATAGTACGAGTGAATGTTATACCCAAAGTTCTGAGGATACCCCATCATGGTGTGGATACCCTGCTGCTGAGGAGGGGGATCTTCTCCAGGCAGGCTGAAAGCTGAGGAGGGTCCTCCTAACATAGGGGCCCCTGCAGGCTTAGAGAGGACATATTGGCCTCCTTCTTTGGAAAATGAACAATCAGTTTCAACATTTAAACATTCTTCCTGTGCTGGGTCTAACTCTGTCCCAGGGCTGTCCATCCTGCTGGTGTTGATGGACCTGTACAAATCACACAGAACACAGACATGCTATGGATTAAAGGATCTAAAATGTCAGTGTGGTTTAAAAAGTTGTTTCTTCCCCTGGAGTTAATATTGCATTTTGGACCAAACAAACTGCCTTTTTGCCAAGGGTCAAAGTTGAACTACATGGTGATTTTAAAGTCCGTCATGTCTCTCAGTGTGTCAGACAGGTTATCAGATTGTTTGCCATGGCCGTCTCCACAATGACGAGCCAACACTCAAATAGCAACAATCTAATCTGTATTTTTCCACCGTCTCCTGGAGAAACGCAGTTGGGCTTGTCTGGAGTCATGGCCAACCTTTCTTACTCCAATTTACAGTTCAGAGTATAAGGAGTATGTTTTTATACCTAAACACAAAACCACGACTTTATCTCTGAAGATTAACGTCATTATCTGGGCTGCAGTGACAACCTAACCCCCAGTGACCCCCCCGCTCGCCCCGCATGCGCACAAGCGCGCAGTGCCGCTGAGAAGCACATCTCGGTGGTAGCAGTATTTGACGAAACACCAGGGCTCCCGCCGCTTTAGCTAACCGATACGCTAGCTACTACACCAACATCAGACAGCAACATTAGATAACGACTGTTCCTTTCAGTGAATTAAGTTATCAGCCTGAAACTTCTGCTTATTTACAATTCATGATATGAATACAAATATACTTACTTTATCTCTTTACAAAAAAGGATGATTGTCGGAGGAAACCGAAAGAGGCGTTTGTTTGCAAGTTAGCCGTTATTGTTTAGTCTGCCAGCGTCAGTTTGATGAAAGAAGTTTTTTTTTTTTCCAGTTATACGGCCCTATGAACATGGATGAGTAAAATAAACAAATGATAAATATCATTCATTGGTTCTGACCTGAAAAGTTCAAAACTTGACCAGTTTTTGTCAGCAATTCGTAAAGATTTGTGGTGGATGAATTAAAGGTACTGTTGCTACTAGCAACAGGCAGGTTGTTGTCTTCAAATCCCCACGGAAACGTCCAATTGTGAATATTTATTACCCCAGAAAAGTTTCATATTATTCAATCAAACAATATTTGCTAACTCATGAACGGTAAAGTTACCAGTGTTATGGGTTTGTTCAATTTTTATTTCCATACATTTTTTGTAAACTTGGTTGTTTGTTTGTTTTTTCATATAACTTGATCAGACAATTGTATATATGAGAGGCCCAGTAACACCGAATGACTGGCGGAGTTAAGGTAACAACATCCGAGGAAATGCTGAACAGTATTTTAAACAGGGTTATTCGTGCATATCTAATCAGCTGTGACAGTCGTACTAATTTTGGAGGGAACTTGCTCCTCCCAAATTTCGGCTTTCCGAGATTTCGTAAACGCAGCATCAATCCAGCCAACCCACGTTGCCAACTGCCGTTAAACTAGAAGAAGAAGAAGAAGAAGAAGCCAACCCACGTTGACTTAGGCACTACAGTAGTGGTTAGCTTACTGCCTTGCAGAGGAGACCTCTGTTTTTGTGGATAAACACCTAAACATGAGTGCGACTTGGGGCAAATGTAAGTCCGTGCTGATCACGGGCTCCAGCAGAGGCCTCGGGCTGCAGATGGTGAAGGACCTGGCTAAGAGGAGCAGCAGACCGGCCACGATCATAGCGTCAGCCCGCAACCCCACCGGCTCTACGGTAACACACACCTGCATTACTCCGCGTGTACTGACTGTTCAAGCCGCAAATTTATTGCTGACACGATTGCTGTGGAAGCAATAACCGGAAAAAGTGCATTTTCAACGCTCCGTGGCTTTAGTGCATGTGTGGGAGCTAACAGTGTCCCGGTTTGTTCCCAGGTTAGTCTGGACTTTCTCTTGGTGGTATTAACTACTGGACTGAATATGAGCACACATTCAGCTCAAGAGTTTTCTGTATTGATGCTGGAAGAGCTGGTGGTTACCTGTCGTAGCACTGAGGAGGGATAAAAAATAATCTTTACAAAAATGTATTCCAAGTATCTGACCCCGCACACAATTAGTTTTTTTTTTTATTATTATTTTTACAAAATTTATGAAGCTAACACCGACCAAACAGTCCTGGGAAACAGAAATTAAAATAATGATGCCACTAAAAGCAGCATAAGACACCCTCTTAAATGTAAACTGCATATTTCTATTTCTTAGGTTTACTAAGATGATGAAAATCCGGGGTACAAACTGAAGATAGTTAGGGGAGACCGGGGCTTGTTGTCACATGGGTAGGTTGTCATGTTGCAATTACCAGAGGGCACAACTGAAAAGTGGAATACTAGTTTTCTTCCTTTACATAGTCAGGGGTCCTGTCCTGTCTGAGAAGAGAGGAGCACATGATGAGCTGAGATGAGCGCCAATTAACAATTTTGCACAACTCGAAGTAAAAAAAAAATCCCATTATATATTTTAGAATAAGCTTCTTCCAGATAAAAATCCTAGCAGTGACACATGTGGACTTGTTAGAGGAGAAATTATGGCATCCTTCATACCTCAGTCATTGTTCTGTTTTAAGCTAAATTTAAGCTAGAGCTTTAATTAGCAAACATGGTAGTTTGGGGCAACATGTCTGTCATTTTGGAGTTAGTTGTCATATGTTTAAAAGGGATTAAAACTAACAGAGTCTGCTTATCAGCAGTTGTCAATGAAATTTTGACTTTTCTCTTTGAGAACAAAAGTGGTTTAAAGGGAAAGAGAGACCGAGAAGAGAAGGTCAGGAATTTCAAAAGAGTTGCATAACAGTTGCACAATCTTTTATGTTAACGATTGTTCAATGGCTATGTTCACTGACTTTTTCTAGCTCAATAATAAACATTTTCTGTGCCTGACTTTGATGTTCACTTTCAAGTAAAAAAATGAGAACAACAATAATCATGTCCTTGTTTTATTACCTGCAAAATCCACTGTGACATCTTACCCCATAGAGTGAGAGTCAGAATAATGTGTATAAATGTATATAGAAGTTATCATTTTTACTCACATTCTTATGTAAGAGTTTACTACAAGTATGAACTGTTTTGACCTCTTGTTACACATCATATAAGAGTGTTTTCTAACTTCTCTCTCCAATAGCTTTATTACACAACACATTAGTGTTTCTTCATTTTTCTGTGACCTCATTTCTCCTATCAGCAGGTGTGTGTGTTGTAACCTCCACTGTGAATCGTGGGAAGTAATGAGGATTGTTTGATGCAACAATGTCGCCCTCACATATTCTCTATTGTTCATTATTCTGTTTTATGAGAGTGCTTACGTTGCTGCAGATATTTTTCCCCCATCCTTTAGAAACATTGTGTAACCAGGGACAACCCTAAATAAAAGAGACGGGACAGAAATACCTTCAGAGTGGTTTTGAGATTGTACCTGATACTATCTCCGTCCATTCTCCTCGAGTATATACCATTGTCTTTCTCTTCTTTATATGTTTTCAGGTACTTGGGCAGGTTTTTAGACCCAACAGTGAGACAACTTACCCGATGGTGGGGCAACATGTCACATGTTTACACTCTCCGCTTAATTGCTTATAACTCTGTACTGACACATGATATGAAAATGACATGAATACAAAATATATATACACTCACCGGCCACTTTATTAGGTATACCTGTCCAACTGCTCGTTAACACTTAATTTCTAATCAGCCAATCACATGGCGGCAACTTAGTGCATTTAGGCATGTAGACATGGTCAAGACAATCTCCTGCAGTTCAAACCGAGCATCAGTATGGGGAAGAAAGGTGATTTGAGTGACTTTGAACGTGGCATGGTTGTTGGTGCCAGAAGGGCTGGTCTGAGTATTTCAGAAACTGCTGATCTACTGGGATTTTCACGCACAACCATCTCTAGGGTTTACAGAGAATGGTCCGAAAAAGAAAAAATATCCAGTGAGCGGCAGTTCTGTGGGCGGAAATGCCTTGTTGATGCCAGAGGTCAGAGGAGAATGGCCAGACTGGTTCGAGCTGATAGAAAGGCAACAGTGACTCAAATAACCACCCGTTACAACCAAGGTAGGCAGAAGAGCATCTCTGAACGCACAGTACGTCGAACTTTGAGGCAGATGGGCTACAGCAGCAGAAGACCACGCCGGGTGCCACTCCTTTCAGCTAAGAACAGGAAACTGAGGCTACAATTTGCACAAGCTCATCAAAATTGGACAATAGAAGATTGGAAAAACGTTGCCTGGTCTGATGAGTCTCGATTTCTGCTGCGACATTCGGATGGTAGGGTCAGAATTTGGCGTCAACAACATGAAAGCATGGATCCATTCTGCCTTGTATCAACGGTTCAGGCTGGTGGTGGTGGTGTCATGGTGTGGGGAATATTTTCTTGGCACTCTTTGGGCCCCTTGGTACCAATTGAGCATCGTTGCAACGCCACAGCCTACCTGAGTATTGTTGCTGACCATGTCCATCCCTTTATGACCACAATGTACCCAACTTCTGATGGCTACTTTCAGCAGGATAATGCGCCATGTCATAAAGCTGGAATCATCTCAGACTGGTTTCTTGAACATGACAATGAGTTCACTGTACTCAAATGGCCTCCACAGTCACCAGATCTCAATCCAATAGAGCATCTTTGGGATGTGGTGGAACGGGAGATTCGCATCATGGATGTGCAGCCGACAAATCTGCGGCAACTGTGTGATGCCATCATGTCAATATGGACCAAGCTCTCTGAGGAATGCTTCCAGCACCTTGTTGAATCTATGCCACGAAGAATTGAGGCAGTTCTGAAGGCAAAAGGGGGTCCAACCCGTTACTAGCATGATGTACCTAATAAAGTGGCCGGTGAGTGTATATATAATATAATATATTTGGTCTTTCATCAGGTACACATTTTCTTAATATATGATGTATTGATTCCAAGAAATATATAAGAGTGTAAAAAGTGTGACAACAAGCCCCGGTCGGTCTCAAAGTTATCAATTTTTCCAGATTAATTTGTGTAAACTTATTTTTTCTTGTTACCTCAGGATCTACAAGAGCTCTCCAAATCCTACCCAGGTGTTCATATCGTGACTTTAGGTGAGTCTGTGAAGCTTTGAAGTGTTCTCTATTGAGACAACATTCACACTGTCTTTGTCACTTCTGAACCACATCTGTTGTTGCTGTCACTTTCATTTTTTAGTTTCTGTGGTTATGAACAGGAGCGCGGATATTTGTCATAGTGATAAGATCTGTTTTCCTGTCTGAGATCATAGATTTCTGCTGTAATAACATTTATAAATACTCCCTGAAACACTTACTGATAACCTGTGGTTCCTGCAGATGTCGAAAGTGAACAGAGTGTGAGCTCAGCCCTGCAAGAGGTCCGATCCATTGTAGGAAGTGAAGGTCTCAGCTGTCTGATCAATAACGCCGCCATTGGCTCCATTGAAGACATCAACATGGTCACTCCTGAGGCCATGATGAAAAACTTCCAGATCAACACTGTGGCTCCTCTCTTTGTCACAAAGGTGGGTGCGACACATGATCTGGCTCCTGGTTTTATTTTTAACCCGACAGCTGAGTTCTGGACAGTCTGGAGTCAGTCAAGTGATATTTAGCTCATACAGGTGAAAGGCTGTTACAGTGATAAAGGTGTTCAATTTCTGTCAAAGCGGATGCCAAGGTCCTCTCTGCAGCATGTTCGATATGCTCCAACAGCTGGCCAATAGATGGCAGTATTGACTTTGCCATGTGTGCAGGTCATATAACAATCCCTTTTGTGTTAGAATTCATAGATCAATCGTTGTTGCCACTGTTTGTACAGAAAGCACACTCATATAGTGGAAACATCTACCCACATATCCCCTGTGAACTCACATGCGTACACTCACACATACATACACATTTACACAACAACTACTTGGGTGTTTTGTTGTGCTCTTTCCAGGCCGTGGATCTGTATCTGTGACCAGATGGGAGCAGTAGGAAGGATGAGTTGAGAGGGTGCCTGGGGTCCAGTGTTATGGTTTGGGCTAATGATTTTGAAGACCCTGTATGTGATCTGTGTGAGTCAGTTTTTTGTTGGAGGTAGTTAGTGTGTTGTAGTAACAGGGGGAACAGAAGAGGATAATGGGTTGGATAATCCTTTTGTAAAGCAACAACAGGAGATGGGGGGGGGCAACAGAAAGGGCTCTGAATTTACAGCTAACAGGCGGTCTTTGTTAGCAGCATTTATGGATGTCCTTTGTGTGCTGATTAAAATTTAGTCTATTATCCAGGTTGAGTCCAGATATTTGAAGCACTCCACCATCTTAGCAGTTTCATCAATAATGCTGATGGGGATGTGTGTGGGATTATGGGCTTATTATTGAGGGATAGGGGAGATGATAACCAGTTCTATTGTTTTTGTGACGTTCAGCTAAAGGTAATTGTCCTTTCACCAATGTGTGAAGTGGGAGATGGAGTCCAATTAACTTTAAACTGAGTTATTGTCATTCAGGAGTGCAGTGACGTTGAGACGGTGGAGTGTCCTGATCATCAGATGGTGTTGAATAGTGTTGAAGCAGAACTGAAGTCGATAAAGAGGACTCTGACAAAGCTACCGCGTGTTTCCAGGTGTTGTAGGAGGAGGCATACCACAGCATCCTCACTCTCCCTTTTGGCCTTGTACGCAAACTGATAAGACAGTAGCGCCTGACATCCAGCTCATCAAGAAAATCATTTGCAATACTCAGCGTGTCAGGGTCAGTGTGTCTAACAAGCAGGTATAACTTGGTATCATCTGCATAGAAATGAAGTAAAACCCCATGCTGATCTATGATGTGCCCCAGTGGGAGCATGTATAAGGAAAGTAAAAAGGGATCTCAAACAGACCCCTGTGGTACACCAGACTTCATCAGTGAAAGCAGAGAAATAGACATTTATGGAGACACAGAACCTTGTATTTGTTTGATATGACTTGAACTGCTCTAAAACTCGACCAGAAACACAAACTTAGTGCTGCAGTTTGTCCAGTGTTGTGGTCTATGGTATTAAAGGCTGCGCTTTCAGGAGGTTTTAAAAGAAAAGAAAAACCATGATTCATTCTGCTCGAGCTGTTTAAGGATAGCGCCTTGGCGTTTTTCTAATGAATTAATTTAGCAGGCTGAACTAAGAACCCTGAATGAGAGCGATATTACTGCTGTCAGAGGTGGATTCTTCAGCTCAGGACAGTAAATCACTGCTTTTAATGATCTGAGCCTTTGAAAATTTTTGGACCTGTTTTGTCCTTTATTGGATGAGGCAGACAGGGAATACTGGGCGGAGAGAGTCAAGATTTCATGGTTTGGAAAGAGGAGGGTTTAAGTTGACTCCTTTCAAGGGGCTGTAGCCTCTGGACACCAACAGGGCTAAACCAGTAAGCCATCGCCTTTGACACACTAAACCAACCCTGAAACTATGTCCTGCTTTTACCTCCATCTTTGTTTTTGTTTAGGCTGTCCCGCCAGACACCTGATGACTCGTGTTTGACTCGTGTTGACTTGTATTCTTTGTGTTTAGGCCTTCCTGCCACTGCTGCAGACAGCTGCAGCTCGGTCTGCAGGGATGGGGATTCACAGAGCAGCCGTCATTAACATGTCCTCCATCCTGGGTTCCGTCACATTGAACGAGGGTGAAGGTGCAAACTTCAAGAGCTACTCCTACCGCGCCTCAAAGGTCAGAAACAGCAGAAAATAGAGACAGAGATGTGCTCTATGTTTTTCTGTCTTCACACTCAAACAGCCAACTCTCCCTCTGATCCTGACAGGCCGCTCTGAACATGATGACCAAGTGTCTGGCTGCTGATCTGGACTCAGACGGGATCCTCTGTATGTCTCTGCACCCTGGCTGGGTCAGGACCGACATGGGGGGACCTCTTGTAAGTATCAGACAGGATTATTTGGTGCTTCATGACTCAGCTGTTTATTCCAGCATCAGGACATTTCACCTGCATCAGTAGGTTCTTATTCTAACTTGAACTCAGTTCTGTTAAAAAGAGCTTCAGAGGTGTCTAACAGCGGTGTCAGCGTGTCCTCATATTAACACTGATGTGTTTAGACAAGTAAATAGATCCTGCCCCTTTAACGACAGAAACACAAAAACACTCCATCAGTGTCAGACTGAATGAAGGATGCTAATGAAACACAGAGGACGCCTGAAAAGCAGGTTATAATTTGATGGAGCTGAATTAATGTCATTACTGTCATTAGACGGCTTTTCACACCGCTCTGAATGCATCACAAAGACGCATCATTAACCGTGTATCTGTGTGTGTGTGTGTGTGTGTTTGTGTGTGTGTGTTTCAGGCTGATCTGTCAGTGGAGGAGAGTGTTCCTGCTCTGCTATCCGTCCTCGCTGATCTGTCAGAGAAAGATCAGGGAGGCTTTAAGGACTATCGTGGAGACAACCTGCCATGGTGAAATCTGATGATCGATCGCTGCAGGTCTTGATAAGAGATATAAACACGGACAACATGACGCACAACACACCAGCTTCCTGAAATAACGGCAAATATTAAGAGCTTTTTTACTCATTTGTATATCAAACCAAAACTTTGAGCTTTGCAGCTCATTTCTAATTCTGACTTATTTCAGCTTTGAAATATGTAATCCACCAATATCAAGACATAGTATTGCACTACATAGCTGTACACGCTTTGGGAACCTCTGCTCTAGAATAACCAAGTCGTTTATTTTTTTAAGAACAGTCTGTAGCTATTCATTGTTACACATCAAAAAGGTCACGTTTAAGGGTGTGCCACAAGGATCTACTCTTGATCCCCTGATTTTACTTTAATTGATGACAATCAGTTGTGAATTTAAGAGTTTAAGTTACACTTTTTGTAAATAGGTCAACTTTTTTTTTTTCTCACAATCAATGCAAGTTTTATTTTCTTCATTAAGCTTTCCACCATTTATTTTCATTTTACAGCAGAAGAAAATCTGCTATTAAAGAAAAGAAGAGAAAGAAATCTCTCTTAGTTTAGTTACATGAAAATGTACACTCAGTGTTCAGAGGTTTTGATTCCTATCAGTTCTGGGAACTGTTCTGATTTCTGTTTGTGGTCTGAGCAGTATTGACCAATCAGGTGTCAAAAGGAACACAGTCCACCATGTTGACCTCCAGCTCCCAAAATTAGTCATCTATTTCTGTATGAATAGATATCTGTACGAAGGTCAGCTAACATTTTGTTCTAGCTCAAACATTTACACTGAGACACTAATCTGACAGATGCCAAGTCACTGAAGATAGTCAGCACTAAGATTTCCTGACTTCCCTGAATGTATCAGAAAAGATGGATTTGGCCTTCATTCACCAAACAAACATTTTCAATGTAGTTTTCTTCTCCTCTTGAGGACAAACCCAACAAATCTGGACTTTGGACTAATCTGCATCATAATGTTGTTATTTCAGCAAACTAAAGACCTGTTATTGAGGAGAACATCACAAGAACATCAGTTTCTGTTTCAGGTTCATACTGCTGGAGAAAGTCAGAGTGAAACCTCTGAGAGACTGTTTACAGAGGAACTGAGACTCTCCACAGACCGATGTATGGGTTCTTTTTTAGGGGAGCTAGTGCACATGAAATAATTGCTTATTTAGGAAACCCTTCTGCAGGAAGAAGAGAAAGATATGAACAAAAATTGACCCCTTGAGCTGCTTACTGAACTGTGAAAGGAGGTTTTGGTTGGAAGCTGTTTTGCACTCACTGCTCAGTACATCTGAATGCTGATGGTAACTTCATTTCAGGGATATTTATTGTTATCAGGTGACAGCCAGTCGTTCAGAGATGAATAAAGTATCCACTAAATAAATAATAATAAATACTAGTACTACTTGCTCTGACAAACAGTGTAGTATTTGTCCAGGATTTATCAGTTAGAGCTCATGTTTTAAATTCTTCTTCATGATTTATCACAAAGTTATATGAAGTGTTTGTTTTTATGGGTGCTCTTCTTTATAATTAAAACCTGTTAAAGCTTACACCACCACCTGACTGTGAAACGAACCTTATCAGGAACTTAGGAGTGATAATATTCTGAATGTGACTGATGCAAAAGAAATAAAGTCAAGTTGCCCAGTGAGTCCAGTGCCATAGTTTTATTTACTCCATTCCTTTAAATTAGATGATAACAATCTGAAGATGCTTACACAGTTTGGGGTTTTCCTCAGTCAGCAGACGCTCTCTGACATTCAATGGATTTAAAGATTTATTCACAGGAGCAGAAAGATCTGATTTCAAGTTTTATTACATTTTGGGGAACAATCAATCTCTGTTAAAGAACCAGGTCTTTGGCAGCAGGACTAATTCAGCTTCAGAGAGTGAAAGGAGCTACAGTAAGGTGACATCAGGGGCGGATGGAGTCCACAGCAGGAACAGAGAAGGTTAAAAGCAGGACAATTAGGGGTTGGCCAGTTCTTCTGAAGTCACGGAGGACGGCAGGGTGTCCAACGCTCCCATCTCTACAAACACAGAGACACAGAACACTTGAACAAAAACAGCTCTCACTAACAAAAAATAAAAATAAAAAACAAGTTTTAGCAGGTCAAATTTAATTTCCTCAAACGTATTGAGAAACCAAGAATTCCCAGGCACCAAACCCTGACAAAGGAAGGCGTTATTTTCCTGCTAGATTAAAAGACTTAAAAACTGCCCATGCTTTGGTCTTTGAAAAGGCTATGTTATTAGTATTACTCAATAAATCACAGCCAGATTTGACAAACTGACAAACTTCTAATTACTGACAGTAATTTCTACTTATTTTTAAGTGGGTTTCAACATCCTGCAGCATCAGTGTGAAATGAGGGTTTGTGTTCAGAAAATATATCAAACCAATAAAGGGCAAAGACTCTAAATTTCTAAATAAAAAAGGCCATTTTACAAAACTCCTATCAGAAGCTTTAAGAACCAAAAGAAAAAGGCTCTACATTAAAACCCAAAGAAGTTTCCATCTCTACATTAAAGCTCAAAGAAGTTGCCAGCTGTGTGTTTAAACTCAAGTTTTCTTCACACTGGTGCAAAAGAGTTGTTGTGAGAGCTGACAGGCTGCCCCTATTTTACAATCTCCACATGAAATATTCACACAATAACAATAATAATACTATATAAAAATGAGCTTTAATACACTGTCACTGTCTGCTAACACTATATATGGTGCTTCATTTACACTGGTGATCATTTCATTTCATTGACACTTTAAGATGTTTTATCCGACAGATTAAGAAAACATCAGCTCAGCATGTTTCATCTATTTTGTCTATTCATTACTTTTATTTCTTTCTGTATAAAATCAACATTTGGTCTTTTAAATACCCTCTCCTAAAATCTAGTCCGAAACAGAAGGGGCGTCTCATATTTCCGTCAATACAGTAATAACAGACACGACAAACTGACCTTTGAGTTTGAGGTACGACAGGAAGTCAATGACAGTGTGGATGGTGTCTCCATCTGCTATTCTCAGGGACCCTGTGGAGGAAGAGCACCAGAGTACGACCTGTTCAACACAGTATTCTTTGAAACTGCACATCTATTATCTCAGTGTGAGGCGGACAGACCTGATCTGAAGTCCTCATCCTGACCCATGTCCCTCTTTCCAGCCAGACCGGCCTTGTCTCCGAGGGTCCTGTGTCCATCTATTCCATCTGAACAGTGAGGAGTGATCAGATCCAGACCGTCACTCAAACAGCAGCAGGTTAACTGAGCGAGTCAATCATCTGCCTTCAGCTCTGGATTTATTTAGATTAAACATGGCCAGACAAACATACAGTGCAACCATGGCACACCTGTCTACATGTAATCCAAGTTCCAGTGTACCTAAATGTTGAACACTGTTTTATTGAAGCATGGTGTTTATTTTGTAACTGTTTGGTTTGGTTTCCAAACGTGTGGGGACCGGCTGCAGGGCTTGGCTCATGGAATTGCGGGACAAAGAAATAAATAGAGAAGCACAGATTAAAACAGGATGTAGTGCAGCGAACATGACAATGAAATGCAAGAATAATGACACGACAATCAATGAATGGATAAGCAGAGGGACGAGCTGAGCCATTATGATAGATGCATTAAGAGCACACAGTGTGTTACTGAAAGAGTGAAGTTGAGGTTTTAGAGGAAGGAGGGCTTCAGCAGCAGGATGTCATGATCACAGAAGCAGGTCTTTGGCTCCACATGTCACACTGGCTGGAAATGAAGCTTATTGTCCAAACTGCAGTAGCTGTGGGAGTTCAAATGTGTTTAATTCCTAGATTAAAGTTTGAAAGTGCCTAAAAGACATGCACATGTGCATGGACAAGGTTGCTATAGTGATTGGTTTCTCCTTGGGAACAGAAAAGGGGCAGCAGCAGGAGGACACAAGCAGTCACACCCGTATAAGGTCAGACTGATGTTAGTCAAGTCAGCTGTGCCTCTGATTCACCGATCTTAGATTAGGTTCGATACAACTTTATTTACAGTTTGGGGAAGGTTCCCTCAAGAAAATTAAAAATTGTAGTAACCCTAATAAAATTCACTATTCAGCTGTTTTTGAACCAGGCTGTAAACACGTTTATTTCTGATCTGAAAACAGCTCTTTTGAGTAAGTGTGTTTGTGGTTTCTGGTGCTTCTACAGACAGCTTCTAGTGGACACTTAGGGAACTGCAGTGACACCACCTACATACACACACACCTACATACACACACACACACACACACACACACACGCTGTCCTTCCTTTTTTATGACAATGAGATGAGTTGGTCAGAGATGCTTCAGTATGGTCCTCTGGGTTGATTTTGAGCAGAAATCTGCTCCTTCATCTTTTATAAAGTTCAGTAGAGCCCTGTCAGCCTGAAGTTAATTTTTGAAGCTCTGTTTTTTTTCTCCCTTATGTTTTTTGAGAAAATGCCATGACAAGCTGTCTTTTTAAAATGTGGACCAATATATGTAAATATTGGGAATAGTCGTCTTTTTTAAACTTTGATTGTGTTTCTATTTATATAGGCCTATTTATATATATGTATATATTTATATATGGTTACACATAAAAAAATTGTTTTTATCTGTCTTGAGTATAGAGCTGTTATAAGCTTTGATTTATAGTTATTTTTGATAATCCTATTTTCTTGTTGAAAATCTTTTTTTTTTTTTTTTTTTTTTTTTTTTTAAGGACTGACCTATGGATTAACACAATCTGAAAATCACAGATGATTCATGGTTCTTTGGTGAGTTTTCTCCTATTTATTGCGATCACTTTGACTGAATCAAACGGCAGGGAGAAACTACATCTTTCATACACCTGTTTGAGGTTTGTTTGTTAGATGCAGATTCACAGTCATAAAAATACAGAAAGTATTTCTCTCTTTAACCACAGTTGTTTGAGACTCTGCAGCACACTTACCGCTCTTTTAACATAAAAACCCTTGCAGTGAAACCTGAACTCTGAGAGCTCCTGATGTGGTGACACAGGACAAATGTTAAGTGGCTGAATTATTTCACTTATTTCCTTCCTCATTATATCATTATATAAAGTAGTGCCTGACCTGGTGACCTTTGCACTCTTTGCATGTGTTTGATCTTTACTCTTAAAAAATTCACTTTAATTACACGGCACTTAAGTGACACGAGAGGGAAGGTGGTACATAAATATCCCAGTCCTACTATATGAGCAGCTCCTCTTTGTATTCAATATCACATGTAATGCATTCCTGTTTAACAGGCCCAAAGGATAAGAATTAGGAAGCATATATATTTTACTCAACATTTTCTTAAAAAATCATCTTTGCCTTAAAAAGATAACCTCTTCAAAGTTTGAAAAATGTGAAAACTTGCTTGGATCCACCTGCAGAGTGACATATACCCCCAATGCTGGTTTGTTACTAGCATTATACAAACAAGGCATACTAGTATGTTGTCATTTTTACTGGGTTTTTGTACCTGAAACTGGCTAAAACCATTACTGTGTCCCCAAGAGTGCTGACGCCACATTCAAAATATTAAATTAAAATCAAAAGGTGAATTTTTGCAGGAAACTCTTCCATTACCATATTCCATACTGAATTTCCCCTCAAGGACAAGTAAAGCTCTGTTGTGATTTGTTGCATGTTGTGATTTATGTTTATTAAAAGGTAGTACTTTACATAAGTATTAAATAGTTAAAAGAAGATTGCACCGTTTAGAGTTAAAAACATATGGAGAGACATAATTGTTTACTGCATGTTTTTGTATTGATATGCACTATTTGAGTTTATTTTGGAAAGACTATACGCTGCTTTTATTTTGAAGGAGTCACCAGGAAGTTCTAGTCAGTCTGTGTGAAGTTGATAGAAAGAAAAATATATTCGGAGAAGCCGCTAGCGACATGTGATTAGCTGACACGCTGTGAGACCAAGCCACCCTTATTTTGTATTGCTATTTTTCACCACGTTTGTATCTTTTAAAAACTGAAAAGGTCAGTAAACTTTGGTTAACGTTATTTGGAGTCTCATTTCACCATTTTTGAGAACTTTCCAATACATTTTGGTGCCGAAACCCGGGATCTCAGAGACTTTTTTTGATGTTTTGAATTGGAAGTAACGAACGAAATGTCCGACGCCATGGAACGTATGAAGAAGAAGAGAAGAGCAGTCCGTTCTTCAGTATCAAAGTTACTGGCTCGTATGGAAGAGGAAACAAACAAAGGGGAAAACGAAAGGGACTATGACTCGCTGCGTGAAATGCTGTCATTATTAACGATCAAGGAGGGACAATTAACGGAACTGGACAGAGGCATTGAAGAGAAAACTGTGACGGAGGAATTAGACTCTGAATTAGAGTCCTCACAGGAATATCAGGATCGCATTATTTCATGGAAAACACGAGCAAGCATACTGATCCAGAGAAGCCCTGGTGGCGGGGAGGAGTACGTGAGTAGGCGCACTAGTGCAGGAAGTGCAGGCTCTGATAACTCCTTGGCGAGACAAACTGTTAAACTGCCCAGGTTAGTGATTGAAAGGTTTAATGGAGAAATAAGCCAGTGGCAAGAATTCTGGAGTCAATATGACACTGCTATCCACTCCAATGATGCGCTGTGTAAGAAGGAAAAGTTCACTTATCTGAAATCCTACCTAAGTGGAGCAGCAGCAAAAGCGGTAGCAGGGCTCACATTGACCGACAGTAATTACGACAATGCAATTGACTTGCTCAAGAACAGATTTGGAAGAAAGGACATTGTGGTCAGTGCACACATGTCAAAACTGCTAACCCTGACACCTGTGAAAAGATCCTCAGATATAGTAGCACTGAGATTTCTCTATGATGAATGTGAAATACAGATTCGCAGCCTAGAGTCCCTAGGTGTTCACAGTGACACATATGGCGCCCTGCTATGCCCTGTATTATTGCAGTTGATACCAGATGACTTGGCATTAGGCTACACACGCACGTTGGACACTGATGGTGAATGGAAGGTGCCTGAGCTAATTAAATTCCTGCAAAATGAAGTGCAAAGTAGAGAGAGAGCACTACAACTGACCAGGTCAGGCAGCTCCCAAAAGGACCATTCCCAAAGTCACAGACTGTTCACAAAACAAGTGCCATCCAATGAGAATAAATTCAAAACTGTGCCCTCAGCAGCTGCATTGCACACAGCCAGTAATGCCCCTCAGACCTGTGTGTATTGTGACAGTCCCAGTCATAAGCCAGAAAACTGCTCAGACACCACAGTGACTGCTCGAAAGGAAAAACTGAAAAAAATGGGAAGATGCTATGTGTGCCTAGGCCCCAAACATATAGCCAAATACTGTAAAGTCAAAGGTGTCTCATGTGCCTTGTGTGGTCGCAGACACCACCAGTCAGTCTGTGATCAAGAAGTGCAGCCAGGCGCTGCTAACAGCAACAGTACAGATGCTGTGGTTTCTTCCGTGTCTAGCACAATGAAACCAAAATCTAATGAACCCAACACAGTGCTGCTTCAGACAGTTAAGGCCAGGACAGAGGGCCCAGCAGGTAGAAAAATAGTGCGTTGCCTATTAGATGGAGGCAGTCAAAGAAGCTTTATACATGAGAACCTGGTGAAGACACTGAAACTGCCAGTATTAAAGCAAGAGACATTGAACCTCCACACCTTTGGATCTGCTGGTCCCATGGCAACAAAGCGCAACATTGTCAAGGTAGTGCTGGAGAATGTGTGGAATACACAGCAAAGAATTGAAATTGCAGCAGTTGAGACCCCTCAAGTGTGCACTGCTGTTATGAAAGTGCCTGGAGAGCACATCAGAGGAGAATTCAAGAGGAGAGGTCTGCAGCTGGCAGATTTCCAGTTAGATGGTGCTGAGGACCCCGAGCTGTTGGTCTTAATTGGAGCTGACTTTTACTGGAAAGTGATGACTGGCAAGGTGGAAAGGCTAACAGAGTCACTTGTGGGCTTAGAAAGCACCTTTGGATGGACTGTACAAGGGCCAGTCCCAATGTCTAGTGTAACAGACACAACCTGCATGCACATCAGTCTAGATGAGGACACTCAGATCTCAAAACAGTTGCATGCCTTTTGGGAAATAGAAACACTGGGCATTGTAAATGACAAAGCTGAAAACCCAGATGATACGGAGGCTCTTCAGAGCTTTGAGCAGACAGTGACATTCAATGATGGTCGCTACCAAGTTGAATTACCATGGCGACTGGACAGCCCACCTCTACCAGACAACTTCAGAGTTGCAAGGAAAAGATTTGAGAGCCTGAAGAGGAAACTGGTTGCTGATGCCACTCTGTACACAAGGTACAACAATGTGATGGAGGATTACCTACAGCAGGGAATTTGTGAGGATGTCTCAGAGAATGACTCAGCAGCAGAGTCAACAGAAACTGTGAAATATTACCTACCTCATCATGCTGTACTCCGGGAGGAGAAAGCGACGACCAAGCTGAGAGTCGTGTTTGATGCCTCATCACATGAGGCTGGAAGCCCCTCACTAAATGACTGTCTGTTAACTGGGCCAAACCTAAACCCTGATCTGTTAGATGTGCTTATCAAATTCCGACTGCACAAGATAGCTTTCACTGCAGACATCACCAAGGCTTTCTTGCAGATAGCTCTAGCAGACAAAGACAAGGATTCAGTCAGGTTCTTGTGGCTGCATGGACCCCCCACTAAGGACTGTGACAATGAGCTGCGCATCATGAGAATGAGTAGAGTGGTATTTGGAGTTTCACCAAGCCCCTTCCTCCTAGCTGCAACCATTAGGAAGCACATCCAACAGTATGATGCAGCCCAACCAAAGGCAGTAAAGGCACTTAGAGAGTCTTTATATGTAGATGATCTGATTTCAAGCTCATGTGACGTGGAGGAGGCCTATTCAGTCACAACAGGAGCTAAGAACATTCTGTCTGCTGCTGGAATGAACTTGTGTAAATGGGCCACAAACTCACCAGATCTCAAGTCAAAATGGACAGCGAATGGATTCGAACAAGCTACAGAACCTGTCACTTGTGGGAATGTACTGAAAGTGCTAGGTCTAGTGTGGAAACCAGAGGAAGATCACTTTGTGTTTGACTTAAATGGACTTTTAGACATTTTGAAGGACAAGCAAAACACAAAGAGAAGCGTGCTGCAAACGTCAGCTCGTATTTTTGACCCTATTGGCTTCCTCACTCCGTTCACCATTAGGGTGAAGCACCTCTTCCAGCGACTGTGGGAGAGGGGAATTGGTTGGGATGACCAGTTACCCCCAGACTTGGCAAAGGAATGGAACCGGTGGTGTTCAGAACTGCCACAGCTCCACCTTGTGGTGATTCCCAGGTGGTATCACATTGAAATCCAACCAAACATGCAGTCACTGGAACTACATGTCTACTGTGATGCTAGTGAAAAGGCATTCAGTGCTGTTGCATACATGCAAGGAAAGAACCAGGATGGGGAAATTGTGACAAGCCTTGTAGCATCAAAGTCGAGAGTTGCCCCTCTAAAGAAACTAACTTTACCACGCTTAGAGCTGATGGGAGCCTTGATCGGAGCCAGATTGGGAAACAATCTGCTTAAGTCCCTGAAGATGGAAAAGAATCAGCTCAGGATGTGGACAGACTCGATGATCGCCTTGCACTGGATACGCAGCACAGCACACAAATGGAAGCCCTTTGTGGAAAACAGAGTGACTGAAATTCAAAATTTGACGAACCCAGAATCATGGTCACACATCAGTGGCAAAAGGAACCCTGCTGATCTACCCACCAGAGGCCAGAGTGTGGACAATCTCATCCAGAGTCAGCTGTGGTGGAACGGGCCTGCTACGTCACTGACAGCTGAACCAACAGACACAATTGAGACTGAGGAGGACTGTACTGCTGAGGAGGCAAATGCTGAGCTTAGGACTAAGTTCATGGTAGCAGTACAATTTACTAGCACTGATCCAGCTGAACCATTGTTAGACCTTGATAAGTACAGTAGACTGAGAACAGTGTTCAGATTAACTGCGTGGGTGAAGAGGTTTGTGAACAATGCCCGCTCAAGCCAAAGGACCCATGGAGAGCTCACTGCAGAGGAGCTCACTGCAGCTGAAATGTACTGGATAAAGGTGACACAAGAGCAAGGTTTCAGCCAAGAATTAAATCTACTGAAATCAGGACAAGAACTTGACAAGGATTCAAAAATCAAGGACTTGAAACCATTCCTTGATGAGAACAGCCTTATCAGTGTGGGAGGAAGGCTGCAACAGTCGGAGTTCAGTTTCAGAGAACAGCACCCATGGGTGCTCCCCCCAAAACACAGATACACTGAGCTCTTAGTTCAAAACTACCATGAAAAGGTGATGCATTCTGGGATCAGGGATACTCTAGTGCAGATAAGGGAGAGCTACTGGATATTGAGAAGCAGACAGCTGGTTAAGCAGATTGTGGCACGCTGTCACATCTGTAAGAGACTAAAGGTGAAACCAGCTCAGCAGGTTACTGCTCCTTTACCAAGAGACAGGATTACAGAGTCCCCACCCTTTGAAGTCATGGGCATTGATTTCGCTGGCCCGCTGTACGTCAAGTCAAACAGCCAGACAAAGAAGGCATACATTGCACTGTTCACATGCGCTGTCACTAGAGCAGTGCATTTAGAGCTTGTATCAGACATGTCCACAGAGAACTTTCTCTTAGCCTTGAAGAGATGCATTGCGAGACGTGGGCTATGTAAGGTCATTTATTCTGACAATGCCAAGACCTTTAAGAGAGCAGACCAAGATCTGAAGGAGCTATGGAAATCATTCAAGGAACCGGAGCTCACTGCATTCTTCACCGAAAAGGGCATCTCGTGGAGGTTTATTGCTGAGAGAGCAGCTTGGTGGGGCGGCTTCTGGGAAAGACTCGTGAGGTCAGTGAAGACATGCCTAAAAACAGTCCTAGGGAGGGCCTCACTGAACTTCGAGGAGTTAACCACCACTCTCACAGAGGCAGAGGCTGTGCTGAATTCTAGGCCACTCTCATATGTGCACAACGATGCAGATGAGCCCACACCCCTGACACCCGCTCATTTTCTGGTCGGCAAAAGACTGACTTCCCTGCCACCAAAAACTATGATTCCAGAAATTCAGTCAGCCAATCTAAGCAGAGAGAACATGGGACGCAGATGGAAGTACCGCCAGAGACTCCTAAACACCTTCTGGACCCGCTGGCGCAAGGACTATCTACTGGATCTGAAATCAGCACATAAGTGTGACACATCCAGACCCACTGAGCTCAAAGTGGGAGACGTCGTGCTGATTGGAGAGGACAAAATGCCTCGACAAATCTGGAAGACAGGCAGGATTGAAGAGCTGTTTCCAGGGCGAGATGGACTGCCACGCTCATGCACAGTTCGTACCCCTACAGGGACACTACTGAGAAGACCTGTGCAACTGATCTATCCTTTGGAAATAACTTGATTTAGGCATAGATTAGTATTCATGAACATTGTTCATGGGGCGGGAGAATGTTGTGATTTGTTGCATGTTGTGATTTATGTTTATTAAAAGGTAGTACTTTACATAAGTATTAAATAGTTAAAAGAAGATTGCACCGTTTAGAGTTAAAAACATATGGAGAGACATAATTGTTTACTGCATGTTTTTGTATTGATATGCACTATTTGAGTTTATTTTGGAAAGACTATACGCTGCTTTTATTTTGAAGGAGTCACCAGGAAGTTCTAGTCAGTCTGTGTGAAGTTGATAGAAAGAAAAATATATTCGGAGAAGCCGCTAGCGACATGTGATTAGCTGACACGCTGTGAGACCAAGCCACCCTTATTTTGTATTGCTATTTTTCACCACGTTTGTATCTTTTAAAAACTGAAAAGGTCAGTAAACTTTGGTTAACGTTATTTGGAGTCTCATTTCACCATTTTTGAGAACTTTCCAATACAAGCTCTTCTTATCTTATTTTTGTATTTTTATGTTTTTTTGTACATAAGTTTTGAAATGCTGTTTTCTGTAAGGCCATTTAAAAAGATCCAGAGTTATATTGCTGTTATTTCTTAAACAAACTGAGGAGAAACATGTGAACAGTGGCAAACTAATTGACTTGGTTATAAGTTAAAACACTTTCAGTATCATCGTTCACTTAATGGACTCTGTGGAGTCTTTATACCTGGAAACAGATCTCCACTTTGATGGTGTACCTGCTTACACGGGGGGGCCACACTGACAAAAAGAGTGATGGTTTTGTGAAGACACAGTCAATGTCAGAAGACAGTCAATGTGTTACAAGAATAAAGTCAGTACATCACACAAATTAAATAGAACAAGAATAAACTTGTCATTATTTGAGTTAATGATGAGCCTGTTACTGCTCTGATGGATGTGATGGATTTTGTCCAGCAATGTGATTGTATGTGAGTGTACTTAAACCACTCAATAAAAAAATAACACAAAACAAACAAAAAAAAAAAAAAACAGTTTTTCTGAATTAATGAGAAAATCAAACTTTTAGGGGCTTTTTTTTTCTCAAAGTGAAGTCAATACAAATCTTGATTATGTTGTACTACAGTATGTTATATCCTATTACATTTATTTTATTTTTACTCTGTTATATTGCATCAATATGGCTGCTGTTAATTATTTATTATATGCATCCTTTCACTGTATTCATTCTTCTTATACCAAAACATATATTCATACTGCACTATACTGACAGGACTGTAAAACTACATATCATAGCTTGTACTTTACAGTAATATACTGTATTTATTCATCTATTTATCTGTTTATTTATTATTCTTAATAAATAAACATCACAAACTTTTATTTTTTTTTAATATAAAGTTACTTTATATTACAGAAACCTTTGGTTTATTTTACTATTGATACCACGTGTACCGTATATTATATTTGACTGTGTATTAGTATAATAGAAAACTGAATTTTCTCTCTGGGATCATAAAATTATCACTTTTCTTATCTCGTCTTATTGTATTTTTTCTTTAACAGTGGTATGAGCAGGTTCTGGTGATTCTGGTACCTATGCAGGTCCAGGCTTTTCCTGACCCTCCCAGAGATCGACCTGTTTTCTTGGTCTACAGCCGGACAGAAAATGAGATGTTTGGATGTAAAAGCGCAGACAGCACAGAGGTGACAGAGAGAAGCAGTAAAACAGGTGGGTTGATGTTTGAGCAATTCACAGCCTGACACCAAGAGCCTGCAGCGGCCGTTAGTTTCTATCTTACATGGAGCGACCAGCTCGTCTCTGCCTCTGGCACTGGGAGAATCCTTTATCTGAATTAGGTGATCAATACGACCTGAAACACAGGATGAGGCAGGAGCAACCTTTACCTGGGCTATTCACACACACACACACACACACACACACACACACACACACACACACACACACACACACACACACACACACACACACACACACACACAAAGGGACAACATTTCCAGGGGTTCCTGATCCTGGCTGATTTGGACCCCACAGTTTTGTATGGACCTACACACACATCTGGATAGGTGTGCTCTGAAGGTGATGAGGCAGTAATTAAAAACAACATGAGCCAACACAGTGAAGGGTGGACGGACAAACAGCACAGACCATGAGACACTGAGGTATCAGAGGCTGGACTGGAGAGCTGTAAGTCTGTGAAACTACAGGTGGATATTATTTACTCTGGAAAGAAGACGGATCCAAACCTGCTCTGACTGAGCTGACATGGATCATAAAGCCAGTAGATTTGAAGTAACTCATGTTTAAGGTTACAGTGTGTTTGGATTTAATCCTTTTTATGGCAACTTTTGGTAAAACAAATCCGCTGTTATTATTATCTTTATTTAGCTTTAGTGCCAGTGTCTGTGAAGTCCAAGTATTGATAAAGGAAGTATAAGAAATGGAAACATTTACATTTTAAAATATAGACTGGACAGCAGATGAGCTCCCCCTGCTGATTGGCTGAGGTATAGCTCATAAATCCTTCATATTAACCGATGAAACGTGGGTCAAACTCTAAAATCAAATGAATGTCTCTTAAAAAGAAAAAAGTTCTGTTATGTATAGTTTGGTCTTCCCATGCTGATTTATGTCGTTGAGTTTATTTAGTTTTATGAACTAAAGCTGCAGGTGGTATTATAGCTTAATTTCTGTATAACACAGGGAGATGAGAGATGCAGTTCTGTCCATAATTATCTGCAGCCGACGGGTTTAAACATTTAGTTTAGTCCAGATTTTGAGGATAAATCTGTCAGTTCATACCTTACTTCAGGTCCAGTTTTTTATATTTGTGTCAATTCAGAAGGTTTATTATAAAAATAAATTTTTTCACAGTGTCAGGGTTTTTTTAAAATAATGTTAAACCAACAATTTCACCATGGGTGAGTGCATGAGAGGATGATGAACGCAGTGATACTGAGACAATTAGATCTAAACTGCCCTCATATGATGCCAAACATATATTCTGTTGTTGTTTTTTCTGCATGAAATATTTTATTTTTAATCCTACAGTTACCGAAACTAGCAGCCCTCTGAGCACACATGCAGGATGATGCAGACAGACAGAAACAAAGAAAGAAAATATTCAGACTGCAAAGATAAATACCATCAGCAGCAGAAACATGCAGGACGTGTTTAACGTAACAGATGAGGCTCTTGGTCAGTTTTATTTGCAGAGGTTTGGGGCTGTTATTTTATCTCATGATTCAACCTGCATCACATCAATATGACTCGACACATGAATCAAATCAATGTAACAACTGCACAGACAGCTGATTGAAATGAGCTGATTTTTTTGTTGTTGTTTTGCAAAAGTAGATGTGGCTCAAATATTCCCTAACTTACCCAAACTTTAGCATATAAAATGTTTGTGTGTGCATCCATTTTGTGTCTGTGTGTGTCGTGTGTGTGCATGTAGAGCGAGTACTTACGAGGACCTAACAAGTATCCAGCGCTGTTCAGAGTCCAGCCTCGCTTCTCCTTCGCCTGCAGGATCAGGCAACACACACGTCAGGAAAATTCAATCATGTGCACATTAAGTATTGTAAAACTGAGTAAAAATACATGACAGGCTGTGAATAAAAACCTGAATAAAGCAATATATCACAGAGAAGAGATTCACTTAGTGCAGAAGAACAAAGGATAGAAATAGCAGGTGGGAAAACCTGGCAGTAATCATGTGTTTCCTGGATGCATCCATTATTTTTGATGGAGTAAATAGTGGTAAATGGTTCCAAATCGACAAAAGTGATAAAACTGCATCATTTTAAACCAAACTTTGCAAGCCTAAGGGGGCAGGAGTTTTTCTGCAGCCTTCTCAGAGATGATCATAGTCCATGGAGGTAAAATTCAGTTACCTCTCCTCCTTAATTTGGATCTTTCTGCATAGTTAAAGTTGATAAGTCCCAACACAGAGTACGATGGGAGGTAGATCCTGTCACTGGTTAACAGTATCCGCTCATGTTTTGTTCATGTTTATCAGTAAATAGAGATATCTGGACACAGTATCAGGAAGAATTGAGTGTTGACGATGATCTGCAGCTTTTCAGAGCTTGCTCTATTTTACCCTGTCCATCTGTGGTTCCGTAAAATTAACAAGCAGCAAAGCTTTTTCAAAGTAAGAAAGAAAAGTATTTTTGATCGTTTCTAGAACTGCTCTTTTGGCAAAGCATAGAAAATTTACATTTTGGAAAATAAAGACTGAAGAACTGGAGGTATTTGCGCGTTAAGGTTGAAAACTCCTGTTCAGGTTCTTCTTGAACAGGAGACCTTTTTATTGAGACCTTTTTATAATTTCAGTCAGCTCTAACCAACATTTGATGACTCTCTGGTTTGATTTTCTCACATATTTCCAACTGTTAAAAACAAATTTATCATTTACAAACTTTTCAGACAGCATCTTAGACCTGTGATTTTAACCACTGCAATGTAATCACCCCAGATGATAGGGGAGACCGGGGCCAGCTGTGAGGGACACATTACCTTAAACAACAAACAGGTTGTAGATCTGACACAGACTCTGCTCATGCTCAGTTGGGACCTCTCTCTTTGCTGCATCACTTTACCGCAGTTTAAAAGTTTAACACAGAAGAATGGATGTGTAAAAGTTTCATCTTTTAAAATTTGTGAGGAGTTTTTCTTCTGCTGTCTGAAGTTCAAATGACTGTGAGTTTAAACTTACTGTTAGAAAAAATAAAATAAAGATAATTAACCTGTGCTCTTAATTGATTTTAGAGAAATTCTCACTAAATCGTTATAATGTGACTTAAAACTGATGGTGCTGCTTTGAACTCTTTTATAATTATTCTGAATATAGCCTCCGAATGTAACCTCATAGCTAAATTCCTTCCTCAGTGCATCAATCTTGTACTTTTTAAATGTATTCTGAGACCGTTCTTAACTCATTTGCGGATCATTTCGTTTGATTAAAATATATTTTTGACTCAGTTACATTCATTTAAATACAGTTACTGACACAATAGTTACTTATTTTAAATAAAAAAAACATACCCATGCATGAATATTTAAAACAGAAAATAATTACAACCCTTTTCAAAGGTAAACTTCAGTCACATCGTATGATCCCAGATACTTCATGTATTTACCTGAAGCTGTGCTTTTATCATGACAGATGGGCTGACATATTTCCTCATGATTACAGATACCTTTTGACAGCATTTTCAACACTGCAGCACTGAGCATTACATGAAATAAAACACTTTATTGAATGTCAGTTTAAACAGCTACAGCTTTGATTATTAGTGCACATTGACATGTTTCTTAGATGAAAAGATGACAGGTGTATTTTAGGTAATCTCTGAGTTATGAGGAAAACTTGTCGTCCCTGGTCTCCCCTATAAAATCCAGCACTTGTAGATTATTACTATCATATCTGCAAACCTAAACTCACATCATTCATTGTGTATTCTCCTCAGATAATTGTTTCTTTGTTTCTGCTTTACAGTTGAATTGTGTAATCTTTGTACTTTTTATATTAATTCACATATTTCAGCTCCTGTTGTGGGTCCCTGTTGTATGGTAGTACTTCACTGTTGGAAAACTGCGTGAACTCTTGTATTTGTGAGTGGGTTTAACCCCATCAGGGAATCACTGAGTTAATAAACGAAGGGTCTTACCGCGATGACCAGCCCGATGGACTCAGAGAGAGCTGCGCAGAAAATGAGAGACACGCAGAAAATCCCGAAACACCTCTGCATCTGAAAGAGAGAAGAATAAGAAGAAAACATGGAGGTCACGGCGCAAAAATCACAGTAAAGTTTGAGAAAACCATTAAATCAGAGCAAAAGTAAACTCAAGACAAACTAACACAAAGTGACTGACCTTTCAGTGAGTGTTTGTGTGTCCTTGGTGTGTCGGAGGGGATGTTCACTGTCTCTATCTCTGTCCTTCTGTGTCTTCAGTGTTTGGGACGAGCTCAGGTGTCTCTCACCTTTTATGCGCTCCAGCTCGACCCCGTGCCGCTGCGCGCGCGTCAGCAGCAGCCCCCCCTCCTCGTGCAGGTCCTGAACAGATCCATGAAGAAAGTGAGTCTGACCCGGTAACAGCGTCATCTCTCCGTCTTTGTCCCCTCAGAGACTCCGATTAGATTAAAAAAAGGAAAAAAGAGTCTTCGCTGATTTTCTGTCCTGGTCTGAAACATCAGAGTCAACAGCTGTTCTCTGTTACATAGATTTGAATCAAAGCTTATTCCTATATTGATCCTCCAGACCTCTTCAGAAACACCAGTTCAGGTTTGGCTTACAGGTTATACTCATGGGCGTACTCAGGCTGTTGAGGGACAGAGGAAATAGAAAAAGGGCCCCTCTCCTGAGCTGGGGGGACCGTGTGTACAGAAAGATCTGTTTTTGCAGCAATGGACATGGAGACATGTCCAGGTAGAGCCGCGTGAGAGAGAAGATATATATATATATATAATAAAATAAAATAAAGACACTGTCATAAAGTTGCATATAAAACTTTATGTCAGTTTAAGTTGCATATTAAACCCCACATGACAAAAGTAGGTTGTGCACACAGATTATGACATATACAAATGCCAATAATGGGATTAAAACGGAACTACTTGTGTGTAAAGGATGCATCACATGCCATGGCTTGGTTCTTTCTTTTACTAATGTTGGCATATAAAATGCATTTGGCACACGTGACTGAATATTACAATGTTTGTATGTAGGCTTAACTCCATACTGAATATTTACAGAATTTTAAGGAAGTGAAAACATCATATAAACAGGTTAATTTGAATAAAAGTTTCATCTGATCACCTTGCCGCCATAGCAGCAGCAGGAAGGTGGAGACGTATCCAGGTAGAGCCACGCGAGAGAGAAGAGGAAGATATATATATATACAGTATATATATACATACCAGTGGCGGCTGCTGGTCTTTCAAGGAGGGGAAGCTCATTGTTCTGGCCTACATCATAATTGTATTTGTTTATTATTATGTAACAGAACAGAGTCGCCAAACACAACGGCAGTCATTTTTATCAAAGACAAGAGTCGCTGAGGATCGGTAAAGTCTCCGGAGCAGTTAAGAACAACGGAATGAATAACTTGGAAAATGCTCTGGTAGATGTTTTATTCTTCGAGATCGCTGATTCGCTTGTTTAGCTGTCAATCAAAAAAGGATTTCGCCTCAGACAGCTCATCCAATCATGGATGCAGAAGCTTGGAGTCCGGGAGCAAGTCGGGACCGCCCTCTCGCCATAGAACTCCAGTGAAGCTGGGCTTCCGATGGGCGGGACAAAGCCCAGCATTTATCCAATGAGCGTCTAGTTTCGCTGCTGGAACAACCCACTTTAAGCTTCCACATTGAAGTCAGCAGAAGCCCAGCGTCCGGCTGTTTAAAGCGCTGAGGCGCTGCGAGGATGAATGAGAACGAAGTTATGCCGGTTACCTGTGATTATCAGCTTCTTATCACAGTGTCTGAACAAAAGATGAAGGCTTTCTAGTGCGTTTTTAGTTAATGAAATGTACACACAGCAGTACGTATTTCACCACTTTTTCTTTTTTTTTGAGGGGTGACATTTTAAGGGAAGCCGAGCTTCCCTTGCAGTCTTAGAGCAATCGCCACTGATACATACATAACATTAGTAAAAGAAAGAACCAAGCCATGGCACGTGATGCGTCCTTTACACACAAGTAGTTCTGATTTTAATGCCATTATTGGCATTTGTATATGTCATGATCTGTGTGCACAACCTACTTCTGTCATGTGGGGTTTAAATATATGCAACTTCATGTCAGTGTCTTTATTTGTGGATAAGGGTGTTTGCCTTACCTCCCCAATGCCTCTCTTCAGGTCAGCTCTGACAGTGCTATAGAGGGTCCTGTCTCCTGGCAGAGTTAAAATTGTGCAAAGAAAACATCTCTAAACTTGACAAGAAGATTGTCCATCCTCCTCCACATCACAACTCCCATCAACACAGACCTGTAGCTGACAGCCTGAGCATGGTGCTTAAACTCTTCATGTGCATCATATGTTTATGTTATTCTTTATGGTGTAGTAGTATAATCCTGCACCATATTTAATTTACAAAAACCTCATTGGTGCAAAACTGTTCATCTGTTTACTCATAGTGCCATAACATTTCACATGCAATATCTATTATGATGCAGTAATTTCATGTGCAATGGCACTTATGGGGTAATAACCTCTTAAGTGTGACTGTAATGTGCAAAATTTTCCCATCTCTCTGTCCCGATCTTCTTCAGTGATCTTCTTGACCTACAAGTGACCTCTTGTAGAAATGTCGGGATGAAACATTAGGGCAAACCAAAGCCTGTGAGACTGTGATGAAGCTTCTTCATGTTCCTTTTAGAGAAACAAACACTGACAAAGTGTGTAACACTAAAATCCATTAATAAACTAATGATCATACTTCTTACGTCCAACACGAGGACGCACACCTGTGTTTGGATCGATATAAATCATAGTAACCTCCTGTAAAGAGGATGCTAATTTGATTTGTTCACTGATGAATCTGACTGTAATGTTTGTCAGTGTTTATAAAAAAGAGTCATCAGCTGTTTCAAAGACCCCTGAGAGCTCCGATCACCTAAACTAATCAAAGTTCATGAGTTCACCGCCCCTTTAACTGTGATTTTCTTAGATTAAAATTACCTGAGAAGAGATTTGTGAGTGGATTTTAATTTGATTTAAATATTAGAGGTGTAAGTGGAACATAAACAGCATCTTTTTACCCCTCTGAAAGCCATCATTAGGCTGTAAACTAAAATTAAACCATGTTTTATCTGAGAGAAACCAGCTTTAAAATCACCCACATGCTCCTCCAGGAGCTGCTATGGCTCTAATTCCTGTAATAAAATCTAACAACGTTCAGTAACTTTGTTCATGCAGGCAGGTAAAAAGTTTTCACACAGTTTCAGACACAACACCTGAGGGGAGAGGCTGTCAGGTTTAACGGTTTTTATTCACAGAGCGAGTGTAGGACAGCTCCAGCAGATGTTAGCATCTCCATTTTCTGAATCAAAATACTGACAAGGCACATTGTTTACCTGATGCCACCTGAATAGGCCGGGCTTATGATATACAGCAGACTGAGAGTTTTTCCTTATGCGCTCCAGTTTGTTTGAAGTGGTCATCCCGTTTTGTATTTTGTCTTTGTTGAACGCATGAATACACAAAAAAATCATATCAACATGATATACATAAAATAAAGCCCCAAGAAATAAAATATATTCACACAAGACAAAAAATACATACTTCCCGGTATATTTGCTTTTATTTTGAAAGGCTTCAAACAACATTCGGTCCGCTCAGTGGAGGTCTGCAGCTAGACTGTCTTGATCTTGCCTCTGTTTTAGACTGTATCCTATCCTGGTGTTTTTCAGGAAGTGTGCTGTCTGCATGGTGGCATAGAGCAGCTTGGTTTTTGGCATGCATGTTAACAGATTAGATCCTCCAACATTGATAATACTTGCTGTAAGGACAATAACGACAAGTGGTTGCCTTCATACACTCAGTGCGTTTCAACATCTGTGTCACTTTGTGGCTTTACTGATCTTGTTTCTCCTTGTCTGGATTTTTTTTGACAGCGTTTGACAGTGTTTGACAGCTTCAAACACCTGGATCATTTCTGATGAGGATAAAAACTCAATTAAACAGAGTCAGAATGCACCGATCAATAAACTCAGCTAAGGAGGGATATAGTCCACTCTGGTTTCTCTGGATCAGCACACCTGATACCCCAACAGAAGGCTGCAAAGTTATGCTTTGTTGGTTTGGGTCTCTGCAAAGAAGAAATGAGAAAATCTTGTGGATTGTCAGTCTATACAGATAATTTTCTTCTTTAAATTAGCTTTTTCCAGTTTAACAGCTGCATTTAAGTTTATTTCAAACCGTTTTTGTCCCGAGAGTTCGAGCTGTTTGCTTCTCGCTGTGCAAACTGATGACCAGAGAGAGGAACTCAAACTCCTGGTGCAGTTTTATTGTGGACACAAAGTTCTTCACTGTGCAGACGGACCTCCCTCTAGCCTGTTTAGCTTGTGTGGACAGTTTTAATGCAGAGAATAAAGCTTCTGTGAGCACATCTTAGCCCTCAGTAACACTTAAATTATTCATTTTATTATAATCACAGATACATTTAGAGATCATTAACACCTATTCAAGAGCCTGGAGTGAGAAAACACTAATGGCAGTCACCCTAAATTGTGCTTTTAAAACCATGAAGTATAATAAGGATATTTTACACCTTCCCTGTGGTGGTCGAAACAAAGCAGTCTGACTTTTTAATAACCAGATTAGAGAGAGAGAGAGGAGAAGCTGTTTCATGTTTTTACCGTGACAACACACAAACACACTTCACACCAACCTGTGGAGAGACCGTCCTCACAGCCTCCCCTCAGGTTTACTGTCACAGCCGTAATGATGGTCAGGGTCAGACATGATGGAGGGTAATACCACAGAGTCAGGGCAGCTCTGATGATGATGATGATGATGGTGGTGGTGGTGGTGGAGCACTGACCTGTGGAGAGCAGAGAGAGAGAGCGAGAGGTGGAGGTCACATATGGATTAGAGAGGAGGGAGCAGAAAAAGATGAAAAGAGAATGAGGAGGAGGACAAAGAACATCTGGATGACAGGCCAGGGTACAAGAAACACAATTTTCCAATTTCTAACAGAGACCTGCACCTTACTGTGTAACTCTATAACCATATTTAAGCTCTTTCTTTTGGAGAGCTGGAAATCCAGAAATTCACACATTGTATTTCTGTCAGAAAGAGAGTAGGGAGAGGAGGAGGATTGGATCTCATCAATACTTTGATACAGTTGTTAATTCATAGATAATTCTACTTATTAATAACTGTGATCTCAATATCAATCAAAATAATCCTGGTTTTAAGTCTTTGCTTGAATCTGTCCTCTCTTTGAACCCATAACATCAGAGAAGTTCAAGTTCA